TTACTTGATAGCCTTCTATGGTCTGTACATAGTTAGATGCAAACTGTCCAGTAGCGCAGCTTTAACTACTACCTAAACGGCCGATTACGTGCTAGGCTTATGTTATATCTATTGCTTTGTGGCCTGTTTTTCGTATGCTTTCGATAGAGCCGCTACGTCCACTTAGTGTAGGAGTTCGCTATCACTTGAAGCGCTGGGCCCCTCGAAGCCCCTTTCGAAAAAAAAAACATTACGTTTGGTATCGCTTACTATTCGAGTATGGGGATACAGATGTGCACAACTAGACTTGCATTTGCAGCAATTTATTGGCCTGAGCTAAAATCGTACTCACTAACAGTAATGCGGAAATTTCAGGGAAGAATATTAAAGTATATTCAGTGTGGAAGTTGTGGTTGTACTAACTTATTCTGTATGTAAGAGAAATTAGGTGATTTTTAAAAGATATATTTTTAACCTTGCATTGACTATTTTTTTTTGGTATATATAGTTTTTTTTTTTCAGTTGAACCATATCACATAATTACTTCTTATGATTATAAGCAACTCACTCTAGATGCCTTTACAGTAAAAATGTAAACCGTAGTTTAAGCAATTAAAACCAACTATGTCTCTTGACTGATTATACGCAGTAGAACTGACAATAAATGGTACGCATACAGAATTTCGGCTTATAATAGGCATTGTTTATATCTAGGTCCCTATCCTAACTATCGTTAACTGTACACTGCTCTCTTTTAAAAAAATATATCTGCTAGCAAGTAAGATAAGGCCGTAAGGTTACTACCTGGTTAGGATAGAAAGCAGTTGATGCGACCATTTCGGGTTCACTACTCTGCTGTTGCTGAATTTGATCTGTTGTAAATTGGATGGACGGATTCTATGAAATTTTAACCCATTTTGAAACCATCTCAGATACTCGTACACGATTTTCATAACGATAAGGGCTAAAATCTTAAAGTTACAATCTCACAGGTTCTTAACAATGTACTGCCTCAGATAGCTTTGCTATTACTATCAGCTCACATGCATTCAGAACTCTCAAGATATACACCGTACATGATAGGTATCATTGCTAGCCTGGATGTCAAATTTGCGTCCACTGAAGTTTCCTTTTCCGGATTCGAATCTTATTGAGTAACGTTTTGGACCTTGTTTCATGTTTAAACCTTAGCAATTCGCGGTCTCGGCAACCTCAATATCCCCTTTTTACTCATTCATCTTTCTTTCTGAATGTATGTATCTATCCATATGCTCACATATGGGAGTTTAACATCAGATTATCTCGAATCGTACTGCGAGCATAAGAATTCTAAACCGACGCGATGCTATGAATAGAGAAGAATTATAAAAGGACAGAACAGAATATGGAAACGTAGCGATGGCTCGATGAAAAACTAATGGGAACGAAAAGTAGAGAAAGCGTGAGCTGGTGATTGGGAATAACAACGAGTTGGCTATCGTCGTCTCATAGAAGAGAGTACCAGGTTAACGGGGAGGATCGTCTGATGCGAAGAACGGAAGTTCGCCACCCCGGAAGTAGATGTGGGATGCGTGCTTGCGCAGATACTCCTGGAAGTCGAAGGCCTGCAGCGCACAACTTGTCAGTAAAAAAGGGTCTGACGAGGCAAACGAAGCGTGCCAGCTAGCGAGAATACTTGCTCTAAGACGATGAAGTATGACGGGGCGGACCCTGATAGCATGTAGAATGTTTGCGAAACGAAACTACCATCAAGGGAGTATGACGGTGACGGTGATAGTAGGAAAGTGGCACGGCGCTATAAACCGACAACACATAACGAGATGTCTGCAGCGTAATCTAGGTGCGAGATGTGGATGATGGTCAAGGAAAAGCGGAGGGAAAAAGATATGGTGTACATTTTCACGACATAGGTCGAATCAGGGGAAGGAAAGGAGATAGAACAGGAAGCTGTATTGGGGCTGTGAAGCAGTTAAGAATGACTCGGGTGAACTAAAGTGGGCTCGAGTTGGGTGAGCAAAGTATCCGTCGTTTAAGTGGTGGACAAATGAGGCAGAACAAGAGGTTAGAATCCGGCCACTGAACCATTCAAACCGTAAGTAGCCCAGCTGAGAAAGAAGTTAATTAGGTGCGCCTGCTGTTTCATTTACTAAAGAAATTGAAAACCTACTACGAGACTACATATGATGATTACGAAAAAAATGTAGGCCTTTTCGGTCTGTTTTGTGGTTGAGAAAACAACGAAGAAGAGAAGAGCGAAGAAGCAGGAAAGAGCAGTAAAGGATAAAATGGATCTGCAGGATCCGCCTTCCTTCTTGCAAATTGAGAGTAATCGTCGTCAATAACACCCGGCAATGGTCCCTCCATTTCCTTTAGGGCTTTCGGTACCTTATCGGAAGGATACCAACCCACTAACCGTCCGCCAACCCGACTGTTTGTTGTTGGGACTTGCATGTCACTTTGTGGTGATAGTCCTGCTACTGCTTTTGCAACTGTTTATGCGTATACTGGCAGATAGAGCTACTAGATCCATCCCAAATTGTCGAAATCAACTCAAAGGAGAAACGGGGACCTTAGGTTGGATGGAAGGACAACCTTCAAAGCCAGGGATCAAATATCTATCGCCTAAACGAGAGGATTGAACGCAATGAATGTCTCAGTGGCAGTGACAGTTTTTATGAGATTTTCTCTTTGACGCCAATCTAATCTAGGAGATAAACATGATTGATATATGGGCACACGAAGTAGTTGATTTGTTTTGCTATTACCACTGCTAAAACGCCATTACTTTCTGAGTACACATTTAGAAGGAACCGTTGTTCACTCTCCGCCGTACTATGACCATATTCAAGCTAAATGTACGTCCCATCATTTTTGCCTCTACTGTTTAAATTTTACTATTAATATTACCTTAAATAATCTGGAAATGCCGTTTCTAAGGATAAGATGAATAGAGACAAACGGCAATATAATTCTGTTTCTGGATATCACAGACCGGTTACAAGAAGAATCCTTGAATTTCAAACGGGTGTCATCATTTGAAGAGACGAATCCATAATTATTTGGTTTTAAAAATGACCTGCCATGCAGTTATTGTGGACACTCGCGTAGTGATAGAGCCTGAGTAAGGCAACATGCTACCTAAGACTTCAGATCATGAATTGAACCAAGACTCAAGCCGACGTATACGACTCGCTGCTGTTAAAACATACGGTCATCTGCTTTTAGCATGAACTGTAAAACCGTCGTTTTTTCAATGTACGGAATCGTCCCCATCTATAGTTAAATGACAGCTTTGTATGGCTTGAGCAGTGCGTCGAAGAATGTTATTTTCGTACAAGGTGCCGTCTGCTAAAATCCATCAGTAGAGTAGCTCATCTGAATTGTCGGTCGTCCAGTTGGTAAATGTTTTTGAGCGACTGCTTGGCCTCAAGCACGTTTGTCTATGCCAGTACGTACACATGGAACCCTTACGTCGAACAAAAATTTTGTCTTTGAAAATTCCGGGGTTTATTAGTTCGTCGGGTGGTGGTTCGAAGCGGGGCGTCGAAAAAAACGGTAAAATGATAGCGACCGTGCGAAAGTGACAGTGCACCGTTGAGCAGAAGCTTTAAAGCTTCTTATAATAAATATACATTTGGCTTGCTTTTTCGAATAAAGCAACTTATACGTGATTTGCATATTCTTCTCGATTTGCGTTATTGTCAGTACCGCGGTGTCGAAAGCAGAACGCAACGTCTATTCTAGCGGTGTAACGTAAGGAACAGTGACGCAACGATTTTAAAGCTAATATAAACTGAGACGCACGAGATCTTGCCGAAAACCAATTTCTTTCCTTACTAGGGTGTTCTTAAAAGTTCCGAATTTTTTTTTTTCTATATATTTAATTTTTACATGAATGTTATAAACTGTTAGTACGGTTTTCTGGGAGTAATGTTACACGGCCTGAATGGCAAATACAACTATGGAGAATCGGCCCTGCTTTTAACAAGGATTTTTGTTATTTTCGCGATTTTGATATTTCATTTTCTGTTGCTATTCGTCGTTGTCCAGTGGACCGAACGGACGATCGTACGTGGACCGTCGTAAGCCCCGTAGAGCATTTAGCCTTTGATCATCTTCGCAGCATGTCTTTGATGAGATAACCGAAGCCCGAGCTGTGATGACTTGCAGCGATTACAATGATGGCAGTCTTGATAATCCTATTAATATCATCGATTCATCCATTTATTAGCATGGCATGGCCCCTCTCATTCTTCATTCGGCCTTATCATTCAATAGCGGTAGACTGTTAGTCGGAGGCTGATGTTACCATACGTGGACTTAAAAGGCACAATTATAGTGCGACATATCTTCGAAAGGGGCACGTTTGTAGCGACCAGACGTGATGTTCAGTAGAAATCGAAAATAGCAAGAAGTAGTAAAGTAAAACGACAATTTGCATTTGATTACCCTAGTAAATGAGAAATTTATTAGGATGAGCTTGTCGCGTCATCTATGCATCATGATGGTTTTACAAAAGTTAGCTTGCCTTCTGCAAATCCACCAACGACGAGGCAAAGGTGTGGTTGGCTACGTTGAGCAGGTAATGTCATACTGAACCATTAAATTAACAGAGTTCACCTAACACGTTAACGTACCCTCTGATAATAATATACATTCGTATATTGTCATGCTCTACTTAAGTTGTCCCTACGTGTTTAGCTTGAAGATGGCCTTGTCCAACTTGTATTTGATTGTAGCACCTTTCATTATCGTCGACCATGGCTACAACTCACAATGCACAATTCTTTTTGAATCCTATCAAACGCATAGCATCACCTGCTTTGACCTATATGTATACATATGAATACGCTAACTTATATCGCTCGTTACTCTTTGGTAGCAAGTCCTTGTACTGAAGCAACTACAAGAGCTTGCTACCAAAGAGTACGCATATATATATAATGCATCTTTTCGCCGTATATCATGCCCTCGAACTTCGAATATCAGTGCGTTTGTTGATCTTTCTCGGTGGTTTATAGGAGATCGATGCGGTCGGGGTTCGGATGAGACGCTCAATCGTTCCGAGTGCAGCAGCCTGGTTGGCTCTGAACACGAGCAGCCACAAGGGGCGTTGCAGACCCAGCTACAGCCGCCACCGCCACCTCATCACCGGCCACCATCACGAGAGGGTCAACCTCCATCGGCTTCATCGGTCGCGCAGCAACAGCAGCAACAACATCACAAGGTCAATCAGCATTGAAGTAAATACGAGCTCGGACACGTTTCGTACGCACACGTACAAAACACACACTTAGTTTCTTTCCTTACGGCTAGTTCTGCTCTTCTCGTTATATATTGTTATAGCCTGTGTATTATGGCTTGGACAAATATTTCTCGACCCTACGCCCTACGGTACATGTCACGTCCAGCAGCACTGCACTGGTATTTGGGGCTGATTTTGGGTTCATTATTTTAGCAAGTTGCAGGTAAAAGTAGAAGGCTGTCTCTAAGTGCGTAGATAAACGTATCTATCTCAACTTGACACAATTATCGGCAAATGAAGCATCTTATTGGCCAGAACGTTGATTCGTACTCTTGCGACACGTGTCGAGAGTACGAATACCACGTAGTACGTTGATAATTGACCTGATCCTTCTAGCACATGTTGTACGTCTTAGTATTTTGATATAGCTGGGGTGGCCGAAGAAGCCAAAACTGTAGCTACTTTATAATATTTTAAAATAATATCACTTAATTAAATTTGTTTCATTTTAATCAAATATATTTTTCAGGCAGCATCATAACTACATCACTGTAGAGGTTTTGGCCAAAAAATTGAAACTCAATTATTATCTCTAAGAAGTTCTGCAGAGACCGAAACCATTATGGCCTGGGCATGCAAAGCCCAAATAGTACGACGAATGCGTTCAAATTTCCCATTAAACTTTTCCAGTAATTTTAGCTAAAATGTTTTGGTCGGTCAGTGTTGCAGGTTTAACAGGTTTAGCAGGTTTAACTAATGCGTTTTATCTCACCGTGCCCGGTCTATTTTTTTCAATGGTTTGTTGTGATCTTGTTAGTTGTGAACAGTCTGGATCGGTCGTTTTACCAAACGGACAACTCACAATGCACAGTTCCTTTTAGGTCCTGTACCATTTTGTTTGGCGTCAGCGTGGGCTTTGCCACAGATTTAAAAGCGCACACTTTTTTTTATTTGTACACCGTTGTTTTATGCGATTTACTTTTCAGCATACGTAATGAAGCGCATGCGCAAGAAATGGTTCGATCTTCTGCAGAGTTTTGCGGATGGAAATATGTCGATTCGTTCGTTCACCCAAACATTCAGCCTATTGAAATAATTTAAAACTCTGTGGTCGTGAACGTTTTGTTCCCTGGCGGGAGCACAGCTACTGGCGTATCGCTTTTGTTCCACCTACCACCATCTCTTTCCGCACTTGGTCGACCACTGCGAGGAGCACATCGAAATTTCCAGAACCATCTTTAGGCCGTTCTTTTTCGATAACGCATCTTGACCATAAACAGTGCTGATTTTTTATCTTTATCGTAATAAAGTTCCGTAAGAAAACAAATTTTTGCAAAAATTTCGTTACTCATCCTAATGGTAGTCCCACAATTCCTTTTGACACTCACTGCTGCCAGATATCAGCTTTCGACTGAGACCCGCGCCGACCTGACGCGCTTGATCTAATCTGAGATAAATTACTTTAAAGCTATATAGATAGAAGGACGCATAATACTTTTTCTACAACTCGGTATAACAGACGAAGTGTTGCAGAGCTAAAGTATCAATGAAAACAAAGGATTTTTTTTATGTCAAACTAATTTTGTTCAATTGTCGAATAGAGACCATAAGGTGGTGCCGGGATGTTTGGTGGAAAAGCTAAACGTTCTTCTTAAATTAGACGCGAACGTGTTTTCGACTAGTACCAACCACAACAACAGCAGCAGCAGCTTGAAGATCTATAAATGTATTAATTAGACAGTGGTTGCTCGATCGGCAATCCGGAAGCTGTCGGTGCGTGCCGTTCACCTTAGAAAATTTCGATCTGACCCGGTAGCCAGTTCCTCTCGAACCATATCTCCAATATATCATTAAACGAAGTTATTTTTCAGGTTTTGTAAGGTCTCCAAGGTGTTGCAGTGTTGGTTTGAAAACTTAGTATCAGCTATTTTTAACTATAGATTAGGGCTGTGATGGCCGAACCCTGCTGATTTGGACTTTAATGAAAAATGGCACCCCCCATGGGTATAGTACCACTAGCTAACGGTAATATTGTCGCTTAGCAACTATGAGCTCGCTTGTTCGATAATAATCATATAATGTGTCACATAAAGCTGCCATGAGCATAAATGAAACTAGCGGGCGTCGGCCTTGTATCGCGCAGTTCCTGTTCAGTGATTCGACGTTAGACAGCGCGAAAGTTGTAACGCGATTGTATATTGTGAGCTGCAAGTAAATACGTAATTGGTCGTGACACTGATACGCATAGACAGATCACATTCATTCTGTATGATCTAAGTGATCAGCGTGCGGGTACCTACTCCTGGAAGTGTGACCACTTGAGGTTGTGGTTCGCGTCAATCTAGTTCGTTAAGTACGGCGGGGGCCCTCAGTTTAAGAAATTCGAGAAAATCTGTCAGTTCAGTAGTGACTTGATAGATCTTCTCGAATCCTCTGGTTGCATTGTTCCGAGATGCTGCAGCCTTTGTCGTCGTTTTGTATATAATCGTCGTCTACCATTAACTTATCCAACTAATATAATTTCATTCGCGGCCTAACGTGAATCGCTGCGTTTCGGTTATGCGCTAAGAGTTATACCATTGCAGCTACCCGACCCGTTATCCTTTTATCCAGATATAAGTCTATTGTAATACGAACAAATTTTATTGTGGGCTATAGGTTGATTGCGGGTCTACACCTATTATTATAGTTAGACCCTTGCAAGTCCCTTTAGGACTTGGTTGTCGTGTGACGATTGTTGGTTGCACTGATGATGATGACTTTCGCTGATCTGGCAGGAGAACGTTTACTCTATTGTGGGTAGCCTATTTTACACATCGCATTGACATAAGCTATTGCTGGATAGCAAGTTGACACACTTACAGGTGTCTGGGCCTTAAGGTAATTCTGCTTTCTTCTCGAAATTTTTCAACAAGCCTGATATCTTATTTAACAGAAACCGCCACTTCCCTTCAATTCTTACTAGATACCCTGCTGCGTTCACCCAATTTCATCTCAGTTAATCCGTTCCTCTAGCTTTACATCGACATATCAGTTAGGCAAAAACCATTTTACTGGTTAATAGTAAGATTTAGAAACTGAAGAGATTTTTAAAACCTAATTTTGTGCCCAACTTGTGCTGTTAAAACGAGAAAAAAAAACTACTAATATAAATCTTTAGAGAACTTCCAGTTATTATCGCTAAAAAGGGTTGACTTACCTAACTAGCTAGTTAACATCACGCTCTATCGTAAAACAAAATTGGTTCCGCAAAGAAAAGATCCAATTGGCTTTATCTCATACAGCCCGCCTCTTGACGAATATTTAGCTTCCGATCGAGATTAGACCAAAGCGGCCAGTTTGTGTGGGAGATCTGAGATTGACATAGAGACATACTTTTTTTCAGTATTATATAAATAGAGTATCTGTGTTTACCTAGAAGCCAATGTTTCATGCTAGCGCTCTTAACTTACGTGACAATAGTCGATAGTAATACCGCTTAAATTAGTCGATATCTATACTTAACACATGTTCTGCTACTGCTTCTACGATACAGGAAGCACTGTATTCCCGACGGCATCCAATCAGCCATCCAGACAGTCTCACACCGCTGCTTGGTTAGTTTGCTTGAGTTTTTTTTTTGCTTACGTTTGCTTATTCTAGTTATCATAGATCACAATTGTTATGTAGTGGAAATGCACGTTATTTATTTGCGTTTCGTCCTTTTTACCGCTTGTGATCATAGCTCTATCTCCTTACACTGTTGCTTTCCATATTTCCTTTTCTGTTACCAGAATTCATTAAACATATACGAGATCTTTAATATAGTGATGAACATACGTTTGCCGGTGCCATTTCTTACCAATAAATCGGCAGACTGTGTCAAAGACAGATGGTCAAATCTAACTCTTATAGAGAACTTTTTTCCGCACATTCTTGCTATCATGCCTATATTGTAGAAGTTTACGGTTCGGCAGCTTGTCGGTGGAACAACGATCCTATTTGTGGCAGTTTTGCAACCCACTTCACTGGCTACTCAGAGTTCGACGAGGTTGCCTCCATAGGCCAGCCAACGTATTGTTACTAATCCACTGCTTTGAATTCAAACAAAGGGGATAGGGATATATCGATGTACCTGTTGATTGTGTAAGACCTCAATAATGAAATTCTACGAATTGTGATTTCCAATTACTTTTTGTAAGGGCTGAAATTACTATGTACCTATTAATTTAATTAGATAAATATATTTCATAAAAGGGAGGCCATGAAATACGACAAGTTTGCCAAGTCTCTTGAATGTTGACAAAAAGTCGGTTGCCCATTAAGAGGTTCTCTAGATGGCGTCTAATTACGTAGTGCGTATGTCCTCCTTTGAATTCAAGTGTACAACCCAATAGGCCTAAATAAAGCATGTTTTTTGCCCAAATAACTGATGTGTTGCAATAATTCGAGAAATGTACATCTTCCATTTCAATCTCATACGACGCCTACTTCGGGGTTCAGACTTCTAAATGTCTGAGTTAGCTTTTGAACAATGTTATCTAATATTAAAAATATATTTAATGTTGAGCAACATGAAAGGCTCAATGATTTCGGCAAGCAGCCACAGACGTTTTTGATGTAGAAAAATCAGAAACTTTCTTAGCTGTTATGTATAAAATAAGCCTATTTCGTTAAACCATGTGTACGCAATTCACTCTTTTAAACCTCGCACGTATTAAAACACATGAAAATTAGATTTGCGAGCATAATCTGATTTCGTAAATAGAAGAATTGATTTTTGGTATTTCTTGTCCGGGGTTACGGGTTTCTGGTTGTAATTATTAGTTATCACACCTTTCGAGACGTTGCGACGCTGTCAGCTAAATATTGATTGGGCCTGTCCTTTCACCTTAACCAGCATCGTATCTATCCTATAGATAGCGCAGACCAACGGGGCAAATGTGATATTTTGCAATCCCTAACGTGACAGCAGCTTGTTGTCCAGTAGGAGTCTAGCAGTAATTTTCCTCTGGTTGTTAGAAGTCCTGGTTGATTGTCCCAGCAGCAAATCGGTTTTTCACTGTTCAAGCCTCTTTCGGCTTACTCTGCAAGAGCCAAATTTTGATAATGTTGAGCGAGAATTTCTCAGAAGTCCCTCTCAAAACTCATTGACTACCCTACGGAGTCAGCTACGGGAAACGTCAACGTTTGCTCGTCGTTTGTTCCGCAAGGGAGGACGAACGGGGGCTGCAAATTGAAGCGGGAAGTTCGGGAAGATGTCGTTGTGACAAGGCGCACGGTAACTTGGAGCTCGTTGGGGGGTGCGAGAAGGAAGGTCAATACAGGAGAGGTAGGCCGGAGGTTGGGGCCTGATCACAGCAGGAAGCGGAGACGTAACGAGTGTTCTCATTGGCCCTTCAAAAGCGCAACGAGCTGAGAGAACATGCATGGAAAAGGGGAGCATTAGGAGGGGATTTTGCCATTGTAAAAAATCCAGTTGAGAAGAAAAGAACTTGCTATTTTGTCGCATGGGTCGGCAACGCGGAGGAGATGTGGACACAAACTAAGGCGATGGCTCAGGAATCTAGGCGAAAGAAAGCTTTCAGCCAGCGCTTACCCGTCACTCGCAGGAGTGGTAAGCAGAGCAGTGTTTAAAGCACTTCCCCACTCCCTCTTCCTTCCTTATTTTCTGCCACCCACTATTGATGACTCCTTCAGCCGCGAGAAGGAACAGAAGCGGAAAAAAACGGGAAGTTGGACCAGCAGGCGGTGAGAATTTGCGTTGTCATAGTGGTAGTAATGAGTCGCAGTTGCATTAATCGGGCATTGCTGGGGGCGGCGTTGATAATGGCGAACAGCCGGATCCAAAACGGCGCCAGCATCCTGGTGAATTTCGTCTAAAGAAAGACAAATTCGACACTTGGTTTAACTGCTTTTTTATTTCACCCTCTTATTATTACTATTCGTCTTCCATCTGCCTGCCTCTTCTACATCGTTTCCGTTGAGCGGTAGTTCCTTTTTTTCTGGTGACCTAGCGTTTCCGTCCTGCCATGGCTCTTCTTGTATGCGCTGCTCTAAACACAAAACGAATAGAAATAACTAAGACAAGGCGGGTATACGTTTTTCCTTTTAAGGTTTTCAAGGTGTCTTTCCAACTCAGACCCTGTCTATTTACACTGTTAAAAGCTTTTCACACTTACTGACAGTATGTTCTTATAACAGTTTCCAGATGAATCTATGTTAACAAAATCTAATTACGTTGGTGTTTCAAAGATATTCCCATAGTCGTATGCATGTAAGTGCTTTTAATTAGATAGTATCGTACGTATACAGCGTTTTAGGACAGCTTTTTTCTTTCAAATTAACTTATGGTAATCTTGAGCGGATCGTTCATTTGCTTCTTGCGGCTTTATGTTACAGGTGGCCCAAGCAGTCAGTGGTCGTTGAGCAGTGCTCTGCAACGGAGGTCGACAACTGAGTCGCTCCAGGATGTATCCTGTGATTACTACCATACTCAACCTTCGTTGCACACGGTTAGTGATACCCGGTAACCGACGACTTACCAGGTTATTTATTCTCAAGGGCAACATCCCGAACTAAATAGATGAGTTTTTTCATTATTTTCACGGTAAAGACAAACGAACTTATGGGGTTTTATGTAAAAAAACATATGTCAATACGGCAAACAACGTAGGCTAGCTTTTAGTCTAGTTTTGAATGACATTTGGCACATGGTAAATCCTTGAAGAGATTTAGAAGTCATGAAGTAGACACGGTCCATCAAGAAATCTCAGGGAAGTAGTAGGGGTGTTTAATCGACAGAAAGGTCCCCGTGATGGTACAATGATAATGCGTTTACTCACTTCACCTAAAGATACACCACGGTATATGTTCGAAACCGGGCGTTGACACGCTTCGTTTCGTTGTAAAAGCCTGCCGTCGGAAGCAAAGCTTAACACCAATTCAGGACGTAGGACCCGAAACGTTTATGAAGTGACAAACTTGTCCGAAAAAGACAATATCAACGAGTTGATGTGGTTGCCTCTCCAGTAACGCTTTTGCTTATTACGGTGGTGCTTCAATTTGCCGAGCAGTTTTTCTGGTCCTGGTCGGGATTTGTCATCTAAATTAAATACTTCACAGCTTGCTTAGTGTGACTCAAATGTCTACCGTATTTAGTGTGCGATTTGCTGGTACAGTAAGTAGTTGAATTGCTGATTTCGTGGTAATTTATGATAAAAAACACTTTGATAAAAGCTTTGTCATCTCAAAGAAGAAAAGCTTGCACATTTTATAATTCATCCCAGAAAGAAATGGCCGCGTTTTTTTGTTTACTTGAGGTAGAATAACAATAATTGTTAATTGGAGCAAGTCGAGCCTCCGTTCTGAAATCTTTTGTCTTATTGACAGGCTATACCTCCTGATTCCTATAACATTTGTACTTCACATACTGCCGCAGCCTTTTGTCACCTACGAGGAAACCGATGATACACGACACACATCTAACCTCTCTACCGTATAGCTTGCATTAGCCCATATATATTGTATTTCAATAGACTTTTTAGTTAAATATATTATCGCAGCCCACCATTGGATAAGATATTCCTCCAAACTACTCTTGAAACCATTACATTAACCTTTTTATCTTTCAGTTAAAAGGACTAGCCGTTTAGTCGTTCACGGGTGACATTGACAACTTTGCCTCGAACCATCCCTAAAGCAATTAAATAGCAACTATTGTTTTCTCTTTTTCATTTTACATTAAACATGTTCTTCTGAGCATGCGCACGACGCGCGACTACACATTAGGATATTGGGGCACATTTTCGTTGTAAAGTTGTGTAGTACATGGTCTTCAGTGTCTTACGGACCATCGAAGGAAACCGATGATTGAAGCAGCAGATCTAATACCGGTCGCCGGCTGGCGGGATTGCGCATCGTAGAAAGTCGAACAAGTCGGGTCCAGTCGATTGGGACAAGGAAACCCAGTGACCTTCAATTGGGGCAACAATATGGATCTTCGGTAGCAGAACCTGTCGCATCGAAAGCAACAAAGTCAGCATCGATTGGCGATGGCATGACATGCTGCCGTGTCGTCGTATCGTAGCATCACATTTGGGCATTGTGAAAAAATAGGGGAACAGCCAGGGTAAAAGTCAATGCAGTAAGCGGGCCTATGATGGAGTCCTACTACCGGCTCCGTCAGAGGAGACCTCGAACGGGCACCATGGTGTTTTCGACGCGAATAGTGACTGAGAGAGAGATAGTGGCGTAGAGGATATGCGGGCATTGAATATGAACTCGTCGAACCCGCCTGAGAGTTAGGCGATGCGATTAGGAGGGGGCTCTGAGGGGAGGGAAACAATGGCCAATCTCCTCCGAGGGTGGAGTAGATGTGATACTATTGTTTAGCATCCCAAACAGATAGGCTTTAGGCGCCTCTTCTTTCCAACGTTACAGCGACAGTAGCTCGACGCCGCGGTTCTCTTTTACGATCGCCTATGCCGTTAGCCCTATTGGTCCCCCGGGGTTGTCATAGTCGATAGTCAGAAACCTTCGTGGGAATATGTATCTGTTGCTCAGCTCTGCTTCTCTATTACGGGACACTCTTCATTTATTCAAGTTCGCTTGCTAACTTCCGCGTTCTTTCGCTTCCTGCGTCATCATTAGCAGCATGCTTCATGAACTGCGCTAAAGAGCACTTAGTTGTTGTTGATGAAAACGTGGGGAAAATGCTGTTAGTAATTTTGATTTGGTCTACTGAACAAAGACGGTACTATTGCTTGCGTTTATGTTAATGTAAATGTGACATGTAACATACTTTATGTTACTGTTAACACCGCAACCGGAGTAACGCGATGTAGAAGCGGTTTCGCTGGACATCCGTTCGTCGAAGAGCCACACCGCTGGGTCCGTCCGTCACTTTCCTGTCTCAGCAAGGGATTAGCAGTGGGATAGCGTAGATTATGTTAGTGTAGAGTTGAGTCTGTACCAAATGGAAGAACAGGATTATTGGATTCTTGTACTACGACGTGTCAACTACGGAAGCGTACCGACAGACAAGCTAGTAGCCGACCATGATATGCACATAGTGCAACGACGGCCAGAAAACTACTTAGGAACCGGTGGAGCCGGGGACGCTTAGAGCAGTAGAAATCAATGCTTCAAAGCTAAAGACAAAGAGCCACAGAAACACAACTCTTACTAGTCTAATCTCCCTCCATAGTACCTATAGCTAGCTGCAATGCAAAAAAGGAATGGGAAAGAAACTAGCTAGGTCGTGTGAGAAGAAAACCTGTACTTGAACAGTAACTGGTAAAGCTGTGCTTACCCCGATGGGCTTTGCGAGATACGCTTTTTTCCGAGATGACTTTCTTATTTGTCGTCATCGTCGTTACCGTTGTTTTCCATAAAATGGGAGGATACGGGCTAATCAGTTGGTCATGCCGTTTGGATTTTCCAGGACCAGTATATTAAGAACAGAAATGACACTGGGGCGGGACTGGAGCAGTTCGGCGCTTCTCCGTATCTCGAGAATTACACGTCTTGCATACCATTGGACTCCGATCTGTAGAGCTGCGAATGCAACCTCCGTGGCACGTGCCTAAACGCATTGAATTAATTTCTTTGAAAACGTTCTTCGGCCTGATCCTACCGCCGCAGTCTGTATCTGCATCGAGTACCTCTTTCGGCTTACTGCGTTTCTATTGAAGTTTGCGTTCACTATGCCGCTCACCTGTTTGCTTCCGCTGCCGTTTATAGAAGTCGCTTCCTAGCGCCCGCGGCGATACAGGATTGAGTTGCGTACAAGGACGAGTTGGGCTGCCAGAAGGGCTTGAATAACCTCTGCACTCACATCCTATAACGTTGTTTTGCAGCAGTTGGGAGGTGATTTTTTTCTGCATAGAATTACTCTATGAGAAAAACCTAATGTTTGCTATTTATTATCTTCCCAGGCGACCCGTTGCATCGGCGTAGCAATATTCGCTTTCCAATGCTGGCGACGTGTCATTACCTTAGCGCTTAAATAGAAAGGCGAATACCGCTAACAGTTTTCCTACTAAATGTCAAATAAACCAGTCATTGGTGCAATGTATGACGGGTAACAACAAAGATATTCCGTGACTGCTACAAGGCATGAAATATATAGACAATCAGTTTAAGTGTATAGCTAAACGGTGTACTAAGTAATGAATCATCATGTTTAGCAGATCGCCTGAACGAAAGCTAGGACAGTACCGCTTTTTTTTCTGAAAATATTCTAGTTACTTCAACTATTTAATATGTTTAGATTATGGAAAAGCTGAGACACCTTCTGCACGCTTTTCCAGTCAGCCTTTCATCAAATAAAATGTTTCATTTGATATACATAAATCCCGTTTTCTGTAAAAAGAGATCCTATTTCCGCATCAGTAGACTATATAAGTTTAGCAATGAGTACGCCAACTTGCTCAGGACCACTTGTGAAAAAATCAATGATGTTTGCATAATAATAATCGGTAGTTAACATCTCGGGTACGTTGTAAATCTCGTTCACCCTTCTTGGGGCGTAACAATTTCACAGAATCAATTCAAAGTATGTTTAGATTTTCCCTTAGTGATGATTGAGCTCTATCAATGATGCTCATTTAGTTTCAGTGGGGGGGGTACGAAAGACACTCATCACAATTTCTTTCCCAGAAAACGTAGAAGCGCTATAGCGTTAGAATGATGGTATTACCAGAAAAACGGCAAAAAAGGTCGTCGAACAAAATAGAATATATACACCTCACCAGTATTATTTTAAAATTTAGAATATATTTGTTTCACTTTTAACATATAGATAATCAATACGTGTTCGATAACTCTGTGTTGGATCATTTCGTCTACAGTACACGTTTAGCTCCTAAGACACCAACAGGAAGGGAAGTGTTTCGACGGCTTACATTGGCCGTTTAGTTAACCTTCCGATTCGTTCTGTTGATCCTTTATCGTATCTTGTGTTCCCTATCCGTCCCTTCTTCGCTGGCGCTTTGCAAAGCTCCGTTTCGCACGTGTAAAGCACTCTCCTTCCCCAGGCGTCCACCTGCGAGATTATGGCACTTCTGCTGCTACCCCGAAGCATCACCGTCGTGAGATTTCTAATTATACTTCTACCCCTCGACCATTTTTTTCCCATTCTTTCTCCCCACACATCTCCTTGTCTGTCTGCTTCTACGTCTCACGTTCCTACGCAGCGTTGGACAGAGCGGGCTTTTCGACTTTTGTTTCGACGATAGCAACTTTGGCAAGGTCTCCTGTGATTATCTTTTCAAACAAGCGCACACAAGCAGACATACACAGCCATGCAGTACCACACGTGCAGCAAAGCGCTGCCGTTTGTCAATAGGACGTCACAATGCGCCCACTGTACGTCGCGCCACCGTATTGGTACAACCGGGGCAGCGTTGTCCGCCTTTGGCTTGTCGCCCTGCTTTATCGTATCGCGTATTCAGTGGCGGGTGCCTTCGATTTTCGTTGTTATTGGGCAACTGCGACAGAGGCGGCAACGGCG